CTCTTGCTTTAAAAGTTTTATTGTTTCATGTATTCCATTTCCACTGCTGAGGTTATTACTTCAATGAGCCTCGTACTTTAATGTGATTTCTCAAGGGACCATGTGTTTAAAGCTAAGTAATGGCGCAGGAAGCTGGCCCAGAGCATGACCGTGTCAAATCTGCATGTTATTAAAATTGATCCCTCTTCAGAATCAAGAATTCGCAGAATGCTTTGTACAGTTTTCATAGTCCTGTCCCAGCAGTGAAACCAGTTAGGGTCTTAGTGGCGACGGCAGAAGCTGAAGGCTGTCTGGTTTTCTTCTTTGATACTGTGATTTATTTTCCCATCCATGCTGTGCTGAAGGCAGGAACTCTTGCATGATGTTCCTGAGAGAGTAAGAAATAGGAGTAAGGCTATATGGTCCCACTGGTCTGTTCAGCCATTCATTAGGTTCATGGGTGATCTTCTACCTCAGCTCCACTTTCCTATCCTATACCATATCCTAGTACAATTTCACAGGCACCAGGTATCTTTAGTGTCTTCTACAAATAGCTATTTTTCATTTGTGAAGCTAGACTATAGAGTCATGATGAGCTAATTGGCCCTGGGTCTGTCACAAATAAGCCTGTTTTTTGTTATCGCGGTGTCTGCATACATCTTTAAGCCAGTCGCTTGGTAGTGATCGTCCCCATTGAGAGCTCTGATTCTTTTTAAGCTTGCTGTATTCCAGCAGCACTTAGACTAATTATCAGGCAATCAGCACAGATAAGGGGTTGACAAAAGAAACAGAGAGGAAATCAGAATATCTTTTCACACAGTGGATTATGATCTGAAATACATCACCTGAGAGGTGCTGAGTGTAGATTTTCAGAAAGGATTGAAAAAATACTTAAAGGTTTGCAGGACTATGGGAAAAAGACCAGGCCAGTGGAACTAATTGAAGCTCTTTGAAAGAACTGAAGTAGGCTTGACAGGTTAAATGGCCTCCTTCTGTGCTATACGATTCTATGAAGCTAGTCCTTAACAGATGACTATGGTTCATTACTACAGAAGATGGTGCATCTAATTATTGATCATGGGGCAAGGAAGGGAAACTCTCCATTGTGATACTTCCTTGCATGTTCCATCTCTACTTGACAGCCGAAATTTACTTGAATTATCATGTTCAGGAACAGAATGACGCTGTGATTTATATTCTATTAATATCCTATAACTCTGGCAGTGCTCCTGCAACATTATCTGCTGGTGATTTCTTTTATGAGGTAGTGTCAGTACGCTGTCTTAGTTACAAATTTGATAAGTCCAGACAGCCAAAGCAAGTTTACCAACTTTATGCAGTTATCAGCTAAGCTGGAAATACTGGGTTTTTTGGCCAATGTTGAGATGAGTGATCTCACCCTGGCTGGTGATAGGAGATATTCCTACTGTTTATCAGCAAAAAAGTTGGGGAGAAAACACCCCCTTCCCCTGGATCCCCTCTGTTCAAATTGACTGAAGACAGAATCTCCCTTAGCTGTTTCCTCTATTCACTCATCCTGATCAGACAACCTCTCACTCATTGTCAAAGTGGCCTTGTAAAGAATGTTAATTATACTAAGCTCTAGAAGGTTTCCTGTGGCCCTGGAGAACTGCATGACGAAGTTGTCAACAAGTTTAGGAACTCAGAGGAAAGGGATGAGATTTCACAAACACATAAAAGGGACAATAATTTTTTCAATCTAAGGGTGAGGTGGTAGATCTTATTAGGAGGAATAAGACTTCACATTCCTTAACAATATGAATTTAAATGAGTATTGGAAGAAAGGGATTTGAGATTACAAGTTGACACTGTAAGTAAGCCAGACAAACTACAAACAAAGCACAAAAAAGATGTTTTCTCCTGTGAAGGAATCCAAAACCAGGGTTATAAATGCCAGTTGCTAATAAATACAATGAAGAATTCAAGGGGAGTTTCTTTACCCAGGGTGTCGTGAGATTGTGAAACCTGGAAGCGTAGAAATGTTATAACACAGAGAGCACCCATTCAGCCTATGGTGACACCGCCACTTGAATAGATTATCTGCCCATTCTAATCCCATTTGCCAGCACCTGATTCATAGCCTTGTAGGTTTCAGCACTTCAGCTGCAGATCCAGGTTCCTTTTAAATTAGTGGAGGGGTTCTGCCTCAGCCACAGAACAAGGCAGCAAATTCCAAACACCTACCACCCTCTGGACGTTGACATTTTTCTTCATGTCCCCTTTAACTCTTTCACCAATCACCTTAAACCTAGTATTGACCAGTTTTATCAAACCCCTCAAGGGTAACTGGGGCAGGCAATATACGTTGGCCAGCCAGCGACGCCCACATCCAACGAGTGAATAGGAAAATTATTTTGTCCACCTCAATTAAGTCATCCCTCATCCTTTTCTATTCTAAGGAAATATCCCTAGCCTATCCAGTCTTTCCTCATAGTTGTAATTTTCAAGCGGTGACAACAATTCTGTAAATTTCTTTTGCACCCTGTCTAGAGCAATTATGTCTTTAATTTGATCAGAACTGAACACAAAACTCCAGTCTTAGCCTAGCCAGTACTGACAAAGTTCCAACATTACATTCTTGCTCTTATATTCACTACCTTGCCTAATGATGGAAAGCATCCTATATGCTTTCTTTGTCATCTTATCATGCCACCTTCAGGTACCTGTGGGCATGCACTCCAAGGTTTTTCACTGTGTCCACTCCTCTCTGTACCGTCTTCTTTATTATGTATTCCCTTGCTTGGTTTGCCCTTCCCAAGTACATAACCTTGCATTTCGACAGATTGAATTCTATTTGCGACTTCTCTGCCCACTCAACTGAACGATTGTTATCTTCCTGCAGTCAACAACCATCCTTCTCCATAGGTGTGGTTTAGGCTAATACTATTGTTGCCTTTTAAGGGGAAGTTAGATAAACACATAAAGGAGAATGGATTCGAGTTACACAGTGATAGGGTGAGATAAAGCAAGGGGAGAAGTGGCTTGTATGGAGCATTGGTATGAACTAGCTGGACTGAGTGGCCTGTTTCTTTGTACATTGCATGTAACATTAAAAATACACAAATATCAGAGAAGTGTATTTGATGCATCCATAGTCTCAGTTAGGATGTGATGAGTGACATTTTGTGGTACCCCTTAGATATTTTGATGTGAGGCCAAAGCTGCACTACTTGTATCACATGTTGCTTTAGCATTCTGTGCCCAAAGCCTGAAAACCAACCATGAGCCTGCCAGAAAAGCTTGTAAATTTCAGATCATTCTTTAAGAATGAGACCATGTCTAAATCCCTGCAAAGAGCTAGGTAAATTAGGCTTTTGTTTATTGAAGGTATCCAACCATTGTTTTAGCATTGGGTCCTTTTGATTACCTCATTACATTTATAACATAGATTTTTTTAAATTTGCTGACTTTCTAACCATAAATGTGCCTCTTAAGATGAATCATTAAATCTGGGATGTGTAATTGAGATGAAAGAATCTGCTATCCTTATTTATTTTTCACATTTTTAAGGATATTTTCTCAATCCACGATTTTTTTTTCACGAGTGCAATAAAACTGGATTCAAGAGACAATTAGTTGCCTTTCATGAGATGAATGAGAATGAGATTGTGAAAGTAAGATTGAACCTTTCTAGCACTGAAAGTTTTAACGTTATTTTGTGCTGTTGATGGGTTAACTTTGCCAATAGTACACCAAAATTGGCTGAATGGAATGAATGGAACAACAGCAAGAAAGTTTCCTCCAGTTATATTCCCTTTCCTACTATCTTCCATAAAGAAGGTTGTGGATTCTGAATGGCTCCTCTCATTGTTGCAATGTAACTCAGTACATATTAGAAAATGGCACTGATTTTATTTCTGCCCTTGTAGAGACGAGTTAGGAGGCATGATCAAGAGCAAAGCTGAAAATGCATGTTAGATCAGTTATCTAACGTGTTCCTGACCATGAGTGAACTTGTTAATGACGTTGGGTCAGTTAGGCAACATTTTGGCTCGTTAGTGGGCGAGGTGGAAGAAAGATCCCAGCATTGTTTAAATCTTCCCAACTGTAGCCAGGCTTCTCCTACACCCCTCTGAGACTGGAGAAGGTCTCCTGCCAACAGGCTACGAGGTTATCAACATCTTTCCTTCTGGATCTGGTGGTTAAAAGCTATCAATGGGAATGGTTTTCCTGTCACACTGTTGGCCTGCCAGCTGTGGCCATGCATATATTTAAATCTTTCACAATAAGCCTTCGTGGTCTCCTTCCTACGTTAGCAGGCCAACCTGCTCCTCCGTAATTGGACATAGTTCCAAGAGGCAGCTTTGTAATTGCCTACCTCTGGGAAGATCAGGACTGACATTCTGTCCTGGCCATTTTCGTGTTCTTGACCTGTTATTGAGGTCAACATCAAATTGTGACCCAGGGAATATTCAGCCTGCTGAATACGGTTCCAGTCTACTACTTATTCCTTCTAATTTAGCTGAAATGATAATTTTTCACCTCAGGAGATGGGGAACATGGAATAATTTGCTTCGGAGCATCACAGGGGCATATGTCTTGATAGTTAATGATTTTCTGTGCTGTGCTATCAAACAAGTGTTCTTGGATTGTGCACCTTGAGCAAGTTACAGATACTTTGTTCATTGAGTACCCGTTCTGAGCTTAGTCACTAAGGGTGTTAATTTCCTTCTTGTACCCAGCAATTGCAGCAAGGTAAATCATGCATAAATTGAAGAATGCAGTGAATCCTGAATGAAAGTGCAATTGTATGGCTATTTGTTTGTTGAGCGTATGTATTTGGATGAGGACTGAATCAGGTTTAGTTGTGATGATTACAGAAATTGAATGACCTCGTTACATTCAATGCCATCTGATTAGTGAGGTAAGATAAGCGATAAATAGACACCTATTAAACTTTATGCAGTGTTTTCAGGAAAAATGAATGGAAAAGTATTAGGGAATGGTGGAAAGTAATGTGGTAAAGTAAGCAGTGTGGTTATGATTTTGTTTTGATCTAGGTACTGAAATGGGTTGAAAGAACCATCCAGGCTTCTAAAGTCCATTTGCTGTCCACTGATCATAAGGAGAAGGAGGAGCATCTCTGGCTGGTGCCCTTTGACCCTAACCTAAAAGAAGTCACCATTTCTCTTAGTGGCCCCACTCCAGCCATAGAAATTCAGGATCCCTTGGGTAAGATATAAGAGGGTAAATATTCTTGGCTACTTGATATTACAAAATTTGAACATTGCTGATAAAAGAGACATGTTGTCAAAGTTATTGATTTTATCTGGACAGAATCACAAGAATATGAAATCTCAAAAGGAATAAAAATTTATACTGCATGAGAAGAGGCGTCTGATTAGTAGACAAGTAGACTCTGACTGGTCGAGGCATTGCTGTAGGGAATGCATCAGGCTGCGGATAGCTGCAAAGCTTTTGTTTGAATTCAAACCAGGCAAGTCAACTCTGATTGTTCAGATGGAGGAAATTGCTGACCCCAAGGTTTTGTTCAGTTGTAAAGGGTGCAGTGTATTGTTTTGATGTATTTGCAGAAGATGTGATCCTGTGTGTGAAAATGTGGTTTCTTAAGTACATGAACCACACTGAACCTAAGTGTCAGGATTGTTTAGCAAGTGTCATCCACTTGCAGAATCACATCTAATGATAGACACTTTGTTCTAAAGTTTTGCAAGCGTGGATGGTTAGGTACATTCAACACTGTGTCTGTTACAAACAGCCATAGGGACATGCTATTTGATACTATTCAACAGACATTTGGATATAAGGCTTATGTTTCGCGATCACACTGGTGCTGAGATGCACAAATCACACGTTGCGCATTTATCAGGTAGGCAGAATGCCTTTTTGGCTTGATGCCAGCATTCTGTTCGTGGAGAATTACCACTAGTGCTGATACTGTATATAGTAGCATGAAATGGCTGGCTTTACCTGCTGATCATTTTTATGCCAGATTCTAGTGAGCAAGGATCCACAGAACAAAACAACAGTGTCGGACCTTCCTAATCTGGCACTCTCTGGCTCACTACTTGCAGTACAGTTTTGATTTTTGTTTATGTAAAATTGCTGTTTAGGTCACAAGGTCACAGAATGCGCATGTCCAGTTTGCACTTGCATTTCTTTTAGTGAAGTGTTTTTTATTTTTGTCTGGAGTAATTTAAATAGACTTGTTGATAAAATAATAATTTTGCTCACAGTTGGGTGTTAGAGGCTTAAAAGTTAAATGCGTCAACTTCACAGAGGAACAAATGCCTCTGGTACCATTGGTGCTTACACCAGGATCTATATTGAGAAACATTTATTGCTTTAAAATATGATTTACAGCAAAAAGAATGAGTTGAAACAAATAATAGAATGCAGAGGATCGTGAGCAGCATGCCGTGCAGTGCTTTTTAAATGTCCTTAAAAACTTCCTTTGGATGGATGAACTTTTCATTGATGCTTTTTACATCACCTACTTCAGGATTTTATAAATTTCACTTTTTGACTCCCTTGGTGTTATTTATTGTTCGCAGTGGTGAAACAGTGTTTAGACTCTGCATTCTTCAACATCCTTTTTATTGTTGGATTTTCCTAGTCTATTATGCTGCAAAGTCTGGAATTATTGGGCTGCCCCTTGCAATCCATTTACATTTTAGAGATGGACTGGGTGTTTTCCCAGCCAATCCTGTTTATCCACTAGCACCATGTTTGGAAGCAGTGCTAATTCTGATCAGACTTTCTTTCAGGGCGGTTCATGTGGCGAGGATTGGGTTTGAATGAACTGTTGAATATTCCAAACTCAGCACGTGTTGTCAATGTGAAAAATCCACAGCCTGGAATGTGGACAGTAAAGGTGAGGACTTAATTTGTGTTGTGTCAATGGTCATTGTTTCTTTGAATCTCATTGACTTGTTTCTAATAAAGTTCAATTACTACATCATGTTCTCTCAATGCATCTATCTTGTGTAGAGATGAAGACACATATACCAACTAATTCACTCAGAACTTAAAGTTTGGATCTCCTTGACTTCCACAGTTTTCTACTCCTTCAATCTATAGTCTGTATAAACTCTTGTTATCACCCATTAGTTATTTCCAGATTTATGCAATTTGCTCCATCTCTTTCAATTTTGATGATTTGTGCACTATATGCTTTGACTCCTTTCCTTTGACTCTATGCATAAACACTAATCTGGATGCATTTATTAAATATTGTCCCTGCTCTTGTTATTATACTTGTTTTATTCACTGGGGTGCTGATGAGCGAGGTTTGTTTCCTTTAAGCTCCGCAGCACTGGACGCCACTCCGCACGGATCACAGGAGTCAGTAGTATTGATTTCCGGGCTGGATTTTCTACAAAACCTACTTCAGATTTCCAAGAAACAAGTGAGCGTCCGATCCAAGGTCGGTAAACTGAAACATTATACCTCTAATAACAGCTTAACTCCACAATTAACAGGATAAGATCATATAGTTCACTTGACAGAAACAGGTCATTTGGTGTAAAAGGTCATGTTAGTCTTTATGCTCCCCAAAAATCTCTTCCCACTCCTCTTCATGTAACCCTAACAAGCAAAATTTTCTATTCCTTTCTCATGTTTTGGAATACTGCCTGCAATTCTAGTTTCCCTGCTATACGAAGAATGGTGTGAAACTTGAAAGGGTTCAGAAAAGATTTACAAGAATGTTGCCAGGGCCTGAGGCTTTGAGCTGTAGGGAGATGCTGTAAAGGCTGGGGCTGGGGCTATTTTCCCTGGAGCGTCGGAGGCTGAGAGATAACTTATAGAGGTTTATAAAATCATGAGGACATGGATAAGGTAGGTAGACAAAGTCTTTTCTGCAGGCTGGGGGAGTCTAAAAGGTGAGGGGATAGGTTTAAGGTGAGAGAGGAAAGATTTAAAAATGACCTAAGAGGCAACTTTTTCACACAGAGAGTGGTGCATATATGGAATGAGCTGCCAGAGGAAGTGGTGGACGCTGGTACAATTGCAACATTTAAAAGGTATCTGGATGAGTATATGAATAGGAAGGGTTTAGAGGGATATGGGCCAAATTCTGGCAATGGGACTAGATTTATTTCGGATATCTGGTCGGCATGGACACATTGAACCGAAGGGTCTGTTTCTGTGCTCTGTGTCTCTAATGACTGTGCATATAGCTTCACCCTCAATTGAATCTACTCTGGATTTTGAATTGTGACTTATGATATTGATGGTAGTAAGTGTGAAATTCTTCAGCCATTTTAATCATGGAATTAAACAGAATCAAGTATTTTAAAAATGTAGAGATTAATCTAACATTACAATTACTAAACAAGTAGCAGGATAAAACATTTCATCTGATACGTTAAATGTCAGGCCTGTAGAAAGTACAAGTGCTGAGACTGTTTAGACTACATTGTTGAAGCACTGTAGAAAACCACTCCCTTAAGAAGTGTCAATTTTTCGTGCACCCTGATTAAATTCATGTGTCCTCTGTTCAGGAATGTTATTCTGTTGGAACATTGCTATTTAGGTAGTCATTAAATTCAGTTTTTCAAATTTGGTCTGCCCATCTCTAATTACTCAACGGAAAGTGTTTGTGAGCCACCTTGTTGAACAGCTGCAGTCTGGGTGGTACTAGGAAGCCATTTCCAGAATTTTGAACCAGAGACAATGAGGGGACAGTGATATAGTTTGTGTCACAGAATGACACAGATTGCAGAATGGGAATGGCACATTGGTTTGCTTTGTGTGAAGATGAGGATTAATTGTGACTATTTAATTCCCTCTGGAGATTTCTTTGTTCTTTTAACATCCAGAATTTCTTGAAAAGCATTGAAGACCAATTGCCTATGTGTTTTTATTTTAAATGTTTGTGCAGAATCAACATCTCATTGGTGTAACTGCAGTAGATATGATTTGTACATCAGCACATGTGCTGAGTGTGGATATATGGTGGAGATGGGGGAGAAATCTTCAGCATTTTCTTTCTGGGAACACAAAATAGAAATGGAATGTGTAGGAAATTCACAATAGGTCAGTCAGCATCTGAAGAATGCAATACATTCATATTTCAGGTTGAACTTTTCGTTAAGAAAGGTGGGAAGTTGCAAATGTACCTTCAGCTGCAGAAAACTCACCCAAAATGTAAGCCTCTAATCAATTGGTTAAACAAAATATCTGCCAAAATTTGCCAACATGAACTTTCAAAATACAGAATTGCTTGTTAGAGCTTTCAACTGCTGCCCCTGTTTCTTTATCTGAAAAATAATACAGTGAACGTTCAAAATCGAAGGGAAGGAGCATGTCTTACCAACTGGTGAATGTCTATCTGATTGTGAAATGGGGCAAATGCTCTTTGAAATGAAGGTGTCATGTTGGAATGGTTGAGCATGATCTGTGCAGGTAACTAGGTGTAGGACTGTTCTGATCAACCAGCATTGCTCCTTATTAAGAACTCAGGGAAGAAGGTTGTTGCTGAAGTCTTGGTTCCAAATAATTAGTTAACCCAATGTCCCAAGATCCTCGCTGGATAAACAATGGGAAGCTTATCACTAGTCCACTGAACTGATACAATGAATGGTGTAGTTGGTTACATTCCTATTGTGGCCTTCTCCACAACTGTAGAATCTCATTCTTCAGCTCTGCTCGTTCTGAGCCTCAAGGCAAAGTGGTACATGTCCTCACAGGAAGAGAGTAGTTTGGCAATGTCAAACAAACAGAAATTTCCCCTTGTGGGTTTCTCATTAGTTTAGATATGAGACTTTCAAATACTGTGATGGGTTTCTGTTTGTAGCTGATATCCAAAATAAACCTGGGAATCTGAGTGCAGAACGAGAAAGTGGAAACTGAAAATCAATTTCATTTTCCAAACAAGTAATTTAATTAATTAATAAAAAGCCTTCCAATCATTCAATCCCAAGGAAAAGTTCTGCAAAAATACTGTGGAATCCCAAAGAGGAATTTAAACAAAACCCAAGTACTATCTTGATACCTCCATTACTGGAATTGGCTGTTTTACATCCAGAGATTACAACCCTCCATTTTCAGTACTAGAGGATCCAGTGCATATTCTGGTGTTTTCTTAATATCTCAGACTGTAACGTTCCCTATAACAACTCACACCCCCAAAACTACTCCCAAACCAATCTCAGCTAGATAGTTCTCTAGCTCTTTTTTTGTTGTTAGAGTTAATCAATTCATTTTGCCATGTGTCTTCTTTAAAATGTCCACAGTATATAGCAGCTGAAGGGACAGGAGCAGACCATTTGGCTCCTTGAGCTTGCTGCACCATCCAATATGATCATGGTTGATATTCTACCTCAACCCAGTTTCTGCTTCTAAAGGACCATGTTTACTTTAGTTATTGTTATCTTTGTAAAGGGTCTTAAATCTGTTTTTATATTCCTGGCTAGTTTACTTTCTCAATGTGTTCCCCCCCCTCTCTTATCAATTTATTGGTTGCCTCTTATTAATATGTAAAATACTCCCAAACTTCAGTTTCACGACTATTCTTTGCAACAATATAAGCCTTTTCTTTCCCAATTGAATACAATCCTGAACTTAAAAAATTCCTTAACTTTCCTAGTGAGCCGCAGATGGATTTTTCATGTTGAGTTAAATGTTTTTAAAGAATTGTACTTTTGTAAAATTATTTCTTTACATGTTTCACACTGTTTATTTACTGCCACACTTTTTAGTCTATTTCACTAAGCTACCGTAGCCAACTCTCACTTCATTCCTATGTAATTGATTTTGAGTTTAAGATTTTTGAAGATATACACATTTTGTCTAAACTTTCATCTTGCACTCATTAGCATATTCACATGAATATGAATGTAAAGTAGAACATTTTCTGCTGTTTGAAAAGATAGTGCTATTTGCTGGCATGTGGACTCTGATTGGTAAAAAGTGCTCCCATTGGTACAGCACCACCTAACTGACAGTTAACTGCCAAGCTAGGCAAGTTGACTGTAATTGGTTGTATCATTGCTCAGAGGATGAACCAGAGCACACTGTCAACTATTTTGTTACATTGTAACAAACACAATGTGTTCAGGTGTTCTTTTTTCTGACTGCAAAGAATGAAACTTTCCTGTTTATTAATATATGCAGCTTCGAGTATGCACAAGTGTTTCATACTGTGAGCCCAAATGGCAGTCTTAAGTTGTCAGCATAATTTTTTGCACCTTTATCCTCTTTGGCAACTGTTAACCACAATTAGATACAATTTTGCAACTGAGTATCGTTTGGTTAAAAAACAATCCCCAAGTGTGCTAAGAATGATATCATCTTCAAACTTAATATGGGACTCAAAACTTCTTTCCAGGGGATCTTTTACAATGAGGATACTAATTAAACCTGTCGCATTGCAACTCAGGACAGTTCACAAGAACATTATCTAGCAAAATTTGACATCAAATCGTATCACAATATATTAAGAGGGATACTCAAGTTATGATTGATAATGTTTTGTGAATCACATTGTGAAGATTTGTTAATGACATTATTAAGGTTAGTAGAAACAGTCGGTGAGTATTAATTGTCTTCGAATATATATAAATAGGAGACAGCAGGTACTCTGACGATGACAACTGTAACACTGAACAAGTAATTTAACTTTCTCCATTTGGAAAAGATATGTCTCAGCTTCTGCGTCACCAACCACCTTAAAGTCTATTAACAATGATAAAATAATAATTTCTTCTGACATCTCATTTTGCTGATGGATTGTTAAGGTTCCATCAAGAAGTATTTATCATCAGTTAAATCTCTTAATGACATTGCATATGTTCTAGTATTAGAACTATTTGTATCTAAGTATTTCTTACATTTTGTAGATTCATTCTTTATAACACCCCTAACTCTTATTCTCAAGGAAATTACTGTGTTCTCTTCCATTCCAGGAATCCCCACCCATGTATTGTTGAACTGCTCTGGCCTGCATCCTCCAGGGCAGCTTGACCAATTGGAGCTCCTCAGTACTTCTGGAGAGACCTTGTTGAATCTGCCCATTAGGCCTCATTCCAGCCACAACACAAACACCATGTGGAAAGTTCCAGAATTCATGCCACCTAACGAGAACTTCTTTCTGAAAGTGACAGGATACGATAGTGAAGGTTATCGTTTTCAACGTCTATCCAGTGTCTCCTACACAAATCTGGTCCCTGGTGAGATAATTAATTGCATTGTGTAGTGTCTTGCATGACATCAGGACATCTGAAAACACTTTACAGTTGATTAGTACCTTTTGGAAGCATTGTCAATATTGTAATGAGGGGAATACAGTAGTCAATTTGTGCACAACTAGCTCCCACAAGCAATGGTTTGAAAATGACCACTGATTTTATAGTGACATAAGTTGGTGGATAAATATTGGCCAGGATACTTAGACAGTCCTCCCACTGTTTTTGAATTATAGGATCTTTTTCATCCCAAAGGATAGATCAGTTATATAAAGCCCATGACTGTTGAACTCCAAGATGGAGAATTGGGCTAATTGAGTTTTTTTAATGGGGTATGGCTGACACTGCCACCATTTATTGCCTATCCCTAATTGCCATTGGTCGAAGTATGATGTGTGTGGAATCCACATATGCCCGACCAGGCAAGGATGGCATATTTCCATAAAGAATATTAATGAAATTTATGGGACTTTACGTGGTCATCATTACTGACCAATGTTCGCTCTAATTTTCTTATTGGCTACACAGGCTTCTAAGGCCCGTGTGGCAGCTAACATCTGTGATTGCTGTGCTTAAACATCTGAGCAGCTGCACACGAACGCAGCCACACAACTTAGAAGGAATATTGTGTCTGAGACTAGCTTTGTATTCCAGATGTATTGATTGAATTTAAATACCAACAGCTGCTGTGGTAGGATTTGATCCCACGTTCTCACAGTTTTGGTTTAAATTTCAGGGTTAGTAGTCAGGTGATATTTCCATTTTGTCACCATCTTTTTGTCTTTGTAGGGAAATAATGACCACTGGGGTGAGGTGTTACAGGGAGTGTGAACTCTGGAATAGCTTCCTAATAAGTGGTACCACTTCAAGTTGTAGGGAGAAAATGCCAAATATATGTTTGAGGTTACCCAGATGGTTGGGTGTGATGGAGTGGGTTGTCGGGGGAAGCAGCATGGAGATGCAGGAAAAACTTGAAAAATGTAACATTTCTATTAAAAGTTTTTAAAATTTGTTTATGGGTTACGTATCATTAACAAGACCACCATTTCTTGTCCATCCTTATTTGCCTTTGAGAAGTGGTAGTGAGCTGCTAAGAGGCTTGTTGGGCCACTTCAAATGGCAATTAAGAGTAAATTACTTTCCTCTGGGTTTGGAGTCACATGTAGGCCAGACAGGATACGGGTGGCAGATTTCCTCTTTGGTGAAGGGTATGAGTGAACCAGATGAGATTTTAACAATAATGTGCTAATTCTTGATCATTAGTAATGACTGGCTTTTAATTCTGGATTTATTTATTAAATCAATTTAAATTCCTTTGCTTTTAGAATTGAATTCCCATCTTTGGAACATCAGTCTGAGCCTCTGAATGGGTATTCCAGTAATATTGCTATGTTAAAATGTTTGTGTGTCTGTTTTAGGACCTCCTGTAGTGAGCATGCCCAGTCAAACTCACTGTTACTACATGCAGCCCGCATCGATTCGGTGCTCCGTGAAGAGTCTGATTCCATTCACGCTGAGAATCTTCAGAAATGGCACCAGAATTAAGTCAGACCGCCTGTTTCTGTGAGTACGTGTGAAAAGAATATGGAGTTGCTGACAGTCGGAGTCAACCATTAATTGTATTTATGTTTCTCTTTTGCCCCACATGGAGCTAACATTCCACATCCACTTATCTGAATCTAAGTGGTGAATGCTAGAAGGCTATTTGGCTGTAGGGTCTTCACTGCAGCACTTCTTTGGATGCCCTCATTTAATATCATCACATATCCTTCTTTGCAAGAAACACTGGATATTTCTGAGAAGTAGGGACACTGATTGCTCATATTGAGTAGAGAATCAGGCCTTTTATCCAAACAACACATGTCACTATTTAGGGTCCACTCAAGCTTCTTATCATGTTTTCTCATGTAAATCTACCATTGTAACTCCTTCCTCAAAAACGTATCATGCTTTCTCTTAATTGCAGCAATATCTCTCCCTGTTGTAGTGAACTCCACATTTTCACTACTCTCTAGGTATAGAAGTTTTCTCTGAATCTTGTACTGGATTTCTTAGTGCTATCTTATGTCTATGATCTCTACTTACACCCTTCCCTGCAAGAACAATGATTCTTTCTGTATGAACTTGATCAAAACCTTCAATATTTCAAAGGTCACTGTTAAGTCATTTTTCAGTCTTTTTTTCAAGAGAGAAGAAAAACCAGGCTGTCAGTTCTTTCCCGATATGTACATTTCTCCATTTCTGGTACCATCTTTGTCAATCTTCTTTGCACCTTCGCCAGTGCCTCTGCATCCATTTTTTATAGAGCCATAGAGTTATAGAGTAATACAGCATGGAAACAGGCCCTTTGGCCCAAACTGGTCCATGCTGTCCGTTCAGCTAGTTCCAATTGCCAGTATTGGGTCTATATCCCTCTAAACCCTTCTCATCCATATACCTATCCAAATGTTTTTTTTACATGTTGCCATTGTACCTGTCTCAACCACTTTCTCTGGCAGCCCATTCCATATACACACTACTCTCTGAATGAAGAAGTTGCCCCTCAGGTCCTTCTTAAATCTATCTCCTCTCATCTTAAATCTATGCCCTCTAGTTTTCAATTCCCAATCCCTGGGAAAAAGACTGTATGTATTCATTCTATCTATGCCCCTCATGATTTTAAACAGCTCAATAAGGTCACCCCTCATTCTCCTAAGTTCCAAGAAAGTCCTATCCTGGCGAACCTCTCACTATTACTCAGGCCTACTCTTCCTGGCAACATCCTTGTAATTCTTCTCTGCACACTTTCCAGTTTAACTATGTCTTTGCTATAACAGGGCGACCAAAACTGTATACAATACTCCAGGTACAGCGTTACCAACTGACTTATACAACTGTGACAATAACATCCCAACCCCTACACTCAATGCCTCGACTGACGAAGGCCTGCAGCTAAATGCCTTCTTCATTGCCCTGCCCACCTGTAACGCCGCTTTCAACAAACTATGTACTAGTATTCCTAGGTCCCTCTGTTCCACAACACTCCTCAGGACCTTACCGTTGACTGTTACCAAAATGCAACACCTCACGGTTACCTGGATTGAATTGCATTCGCCAATCCTCAGCCCACTTCCCCATCCGATCAAGATCCCTCTGTAATTTTTGATAACCTTCTTTGCTATTAACGATACCTCCTAATTTTGTATCATCTTTGAACTTACTAATCATGCCCGTACGTTCACATCCAGGTCATTTATCTAAATAAATGGCATACCACTAGTCACAGGCCTACAGTCCAAGAAACAACCTTCAACTATCACCCTCTGCTTTCTACCATTGAGTCAATTTGGAACCCAATTAGCTAGCTTTCCCTGGATCCCATGTGACCTAACTTTCATGACTAGTCTGCCATGCGGGACCTTGTCAAAGGTCTTACTAAAGTCCATTTGACAACATCTACTGTCTTATCCTGATACATCCCCTTGGTTACCACTTCAAAAAACACTACAAGATTTGTCAGACATGACTTCCTGTGCATAAATTAGGGCGACACGGTAACTCATTGGTTAGCACTGCTGCCTCACAGCGTCAGGGACCCAGTTCAGTTCCACCCTCGGTTGACTGTCTGTGTGGAGCTTGCACATTCTCCCCGTGTCTGCGTGGCTTTCCTCTGGGTGCTCTGGTTTTCTCCCACAGTCCAAAGATGTGCAGGGTAGGTGGATTGGTCATGCTAAATTGCCCGTAGTGTTCAGGGATGTTTAGACATGGGGAAATGCAGGGGTAGGGGAATGAGTCAGGGTGGGATGCTCTTCGGTGTGGCGGTGTGGACTTGTTGGGCTGAATGGCCATTTTCCACACTGTAGCGATTCTATGATTCTATGAAATTCCATGCTGACTATCCCTAATCAGAACCTTGACTAGCCAAATGTTGGTTGATCCTGTCCGTCAGTATTCTCGCCAGTAACTTGCCTACCACTGATGTCGGGCTCACTGGTCTGTAGTTCCCTTGCTTGTCTTTGCTACCTTTCGTAAACAATGGAACAACATTAGCCACCTTCCAGTCTTCCAGAACTTCAACAGTGGCTAAAGATGAAGTAAAAAAATCTCTGCAAGGGTCTCTGCAATTTCTTCCCTAGCCTCCCACAACATCTGAGGATAGACTTGATCAGGCCCAGGGGATTTATTCACCTTAATGCGCTTTAAGGCTGCAATACTTCCTCACTGGTAATGTGCATGCGGTCCAAAACATCCCCACTTGTTTCCCTTATTTCCTTAGCATCCATAATTCTATCCTCATCTCCTGTGGCTCCACACATAGATGGCCATGCTGATCTGTAAGGGGACTTAGTTTCTCCCTAGCCACCCTCTTACTCTTAGTATAGCTATAAAATCTCTTGGGATTATATTTAACCTTATCTGCCAGATCAATCTCATACCCTCTTTTTGCTGTTCTGCTTTCCCTCTTGAGTGTGCTCTTACACTTTTTATGGTCATCTAGGGATTCACGTGAGCCGGATAGCTTAAACCCAATGGATGCCTTCTTCTTTTTCCTGACCAGAGCCTCAATATCTCTTGTAAGCCAGGGATCCCTAAACCTGCCAGTTTTTGCCTTCACCCTGACAGGGACATACTGTCCCTGGACTCTTGATATCACACCTTTAAAGGCCTCCCGTTTGCCAGTCTTTCCTTTTCCTTCAAACAGACTGACCCAATCAACCTCTGCTAGATCCTGTCTAATGGCCCCAGAATTGGCCCTGCTCCAGTTTAGCACCTTGACTTGTGGATCTGTCCTATCTTTTTTCCGTAACTGTGTTAAAACTAAGAGAGTTATGGTCACCTGGACCCAAAGTGCTCTCCGACTGACATTATAGTCACTTGCTCAACCTCGTTTCCTAAGAGAAGGTCCAGTGTTGCACCCTCCTGAGTAGGGCCGTCTCCATACTGATTTAGAAAAACTTTCTTGGACACATTTGACAAACTCCACCCCATCCAGGCCTTTTACACTCTGGGTGGCCCAGTCAATACGGGTGAAATTATAATGTCCAACCAAAGGTACTCTATTATTCCTATAGATATCTGCAATCTCTCTACACATCTGCTTCTCTGGTACCCACTGGCTATTTGGGGGTGTATAATACACTCCCAACAGAGTGATCATCCCCTTCTTGTTTCTAAGTCCTATCCATATGGCCTCATTTGATGACCCCTTAAGAAGATCCTCTCTAAGCACTGTTGTTATGTCCCCCCTTTTCAAAAGGGCAACTTCCCTTCCTTGCTTACTTGTACTTCTGTCACACCTGTAGCTTCTGTATCCTGAAACAGTGAGTTGCCAGTCCTGCTCTTCTCTCAGCCATGTTTCAGTTATCGCCATAATATCCCAGACCCCAGAGCCAATCCATGCTCTGAGCTCACCTGCCTTACAAGTCAGGCCTCATGTGTGAAATAAATTCACTTTAAACCAGAATATTTTTCCCTCCCTTTGCTGTGCCCATGGCTATCCTGATTTTCCCCTGACTTATTGATGGCACCTCTCTTATTCAGAGTCCCACCCCCCCTGCCAAACTAGTTTAAATCCTCTCCGGTAACACTAACAAATCTCCTCGTGAGGATATTGGACTCCCTCTGGTTCAAGTACAACCCATCCCTCTTGTACAGGTCACCTCTACCCCAGAAGAGATCCCAATGATTCAAGAACTGAAAACCCGAGCCCCTACACCAGCTCCTCAACCTCTCATTCATCTGGCTTATCTTTCTATCCTCACTGGCGTGTGGCACTGGGGGTAATCCGGAGATCACTACCCTTGAGGTCCTGCTTTTTAAATTCTTACCTAACTCCCTGTACTCATTTCACATCACCCCATTCCTTTGTCTATCTATGTAGTTTGTACCAATCTGCACAATGACCTCTGGCTGTTCACCTTCCTCCTTCAGAATGTTCTGCAACCGCTCAAAGGCATCCTTGACCCTGGCACCCGGGAGGCAAAACACCATCCTGGCGTCTCTTCTGTGGTCACAGACTCTTCTGTATGTCCCCCTCACAATTGAGTCTTCTATCAGTATAGCTGTGTCTGACTTCCCCCACTTCTTTCCGAGCCTCAGAGCCTGAGTCACAGTGCCACTGACCTAACTGCTGCTGCTAGCCCTGAAAGGTGACCCCCCCCCCCCCCAACAGTATCCAAAGTGGTATACCTGTTATTAAGGGGAATGGCCACAGGGGAACCCTGCACTATCTGCCTACTCCCTTTATCCCTTCTGGTGGTCATTCAGCTACCTGCAGCCTGCACCTTAGGAGTGACTACTTCACTATAGCTCTTATCAACGATGTTTTCTGCACCCCAATGATCCTGAGTGCACCCAGCTCTAGCTCCAGTTCCCTAATGTGGTCTGTCAAGAGCTGCAGCTGGGTGCACTTCTCACAGGTGTAGCCACCAGGGACACAGGAAGTCTCCCCGATCTCCCACATCCTGCAAGAGGAGCATGCCACTGCCCTAACTGCCATTCCCATTGACTTCAGTCTAGATAGAAAGAAAGTACAGTTGAAGAGTCCTAACATACTCTTACTTGTACCCCTGCTCAGCCTCCTCACGTCAAAACCTCTCAAGCAAAGGCCTCAGCACTTCTGATCTAACACTGACCCACTCCCTTAATGGCTGCTCCCTTGTACACCTTTACCTTGCCGGTTGACTTCCTCACAGAGCCCCTTTTTTGGTCAGAGGAGGAGGGAGGGTGGGAAACACCAATGTAGCATTTCAGGTTTAACCACACCTTGACACCAGATTCTCTCCAACATGCTGTACAGTTGTGATGACTGTGGGGATGTCTCCCACAATTCCACTGTGATGAATCTCAGCCACCCCCTGTTTCATTGCCCTTCACTGTCTCACGGAGGGTGTCCTGTGGAGGTCTCCTGTACAGTTGTAATGACTGTGGCTATGTCTCCCAGAATTATGCTGTGATGACTCTCCTTCAGAATGTTCTGCAACCGCTCAGAGACATCCTTTTACCCTGGCACCCGGGAGGCAAAACACCATCCTGGCGTCTCTTCTGCGGTCACAGACTCTCCTGTGTGTCCCCCTCACAATTGAGTCTTCTATCAGTATAGCTGTGTCTGACTTCCCCCACTTCTTTCTGAGCCTCAGAGCCTGGTGATCAGGACTGTATGCACTACTGTGTGGTCTAACCTATATTCCCTAACCATCCTGTGAGTGATGGGTCACTGTAGATGCTCTGTCACTGACCTAATTCAGATTTGTTCACGTGGAACAGAGTTAGGATCTTCCTACCCTGAAAGTTACCAGTTGAGCCAGAGGTAGAGGTGATTGAAATCTTTGCTTATCTGTATTTATCAAAGACCCAGAGATGGATGAAGTTTTGGATTGTTTTTAGATTGGGCCATTGTGATGAGGAGTTTCAATGTGAATAAACGGAGCTAGCAGCTTTCCACATTGGGCCATTGTGACGAGGAGGTAGGCTTTAGGGAGGCCCTAAAGGATTGAGGAAGTAGCGGAGAGGTGGGAAGTTTTATGGAAGGACTTTCAGAACTTGCAGTCAGGAAGCCTAAGGAAAACTGCCAGTGGTGTAATGATGGAAATAGAAGATGTTCAAGAGGCCACAATTGGATATTGCAGAGATTGTGTGACATCTTCTAGTGTTTGACTTTGATCTGAGTAGGCAGAAGATTGGTGACAGATAGTTGAATGGTGCTGAGCAGTGCCCAGCTAGGTTCAGTATCTTTAACAAGGCTTTTTCTTTCTAAACCGTATCGCCCCTAATAACTGTGGGAACAGTCTTCTTTTGTAAGTAGGTTCTTCAGTAGCCACATAACACAAAGTGGGACAACTAGTTGCAACATTGCATTTTCTTAGGCTTTATAACAAAGATACAACCTTGAAACCTGGAGGAACTGAATTACCGCAACAAGATAGGTTTTGTGACGATGGAATGAGTGCCAGTTGAAATAGCTTATTGAGAACCTCTAGTGGCAGAAACCCAATACTGCAGTATAACACCAGTTGAAGGAGCAGACGCTTCCTTCACATTGCGTGAACCCTTAACCAAATGGTATTTCTAATTTGATCCTTCAGTGGGACCATTGTGTTGTTCTGCTTTATGACTTTGTTTCTCATTACCTTACTGCTGAAATTTTGTCTTTTCAGAGACTCAGTGAATACTGCATGGGAAATCCCGAGTGTTTCTGGAGCTGATGAAGGTTTTTATGATTGTGTCGCTATCAGCAACTCGGGCACGGGCATAGCTCGAACATTATTGGTTGTTACTGGTGAGTAGTTAGTGATGTTCTGATTTGTGCATTGATACAATTGAAAATTTCATCCCTTTCTACCTTTTATAGAAAATATTCCACGTTACTGTGTTCCAAACATGATATTGTTACTTTTATATTGATAAAAAGAAAGAACGTGTTGCCGAAGCTTTTCATTATGCACACATCAGGACAAGTACAAGAATGCCAAATTTCAACCAATCCTGACAATGTATACTACAGAATAAAAGAGGACTGATTGGTTGCAAGTCAATTCTTATTGGCTGAGGCATTGGCATGAGGAAAGTATATGTAACCCAACTACAATCTGACTTCTACTCCTAAGTGAACCAAGCACCAGCATGATAGGCTGAATCACTTCTAAAGTTATACCATTCAAAGGTGTGAGTCAGCCAGTGGTCTACTGGTCTTGATCCCTCCTTTTCAGGAATCACCTTGCATCTGCTTGATCTCTGCTCAAAATGGTGGGTAGTAATTCATCCCTTGGCTTGGCACTAAACCACAATGCAGTATATTGGGGCTTCAATACCCTCAGCAATAGGCATTTTCTCATGGGACGTGAGTGTCACTGGCTAGACCAGCATTTACAACATATCTTTAGTTGCCTTTGAGAAGGCCTTCTTGAACCGGTGCAATCCATGGGTGTAGGTGCACTGACAATGGGTTAAGGAGGGAGATCCAGGATTTTGATCCAATGACACTGAAGGAACAGCAGCATATTTCCAAGTCAGGATGGTGAGTGGCTTGGAAGGGAATTTGCATTGGAATGCACATATGGTAGTGTTCTCATGCATGTGCTGCTGTTGTCCTTCTTGATGGTAGTAGCTGTAGGTTTGGAAGGTGCCATCTAAAGAACCTTGGTGAATTTCTGCAGTGCATCTTGTAGAAGGTACCCTACTGATGCTAGTGGTGGAGGGTGTGGATGTTTGAGGATGTGGTGCCAAACCAACAAGCTGCTTTGTTCTGGGTAGAGTCAAGTTTCTTGAATGCTGGTCCAATTCAGTTTCTGGTCAATCGTAACCCCCAGGATGTCGCTAATGGTAGATCTAGTGATGGTAATGCCATTAAATGACGAGGGGCAATGGTTAGATTCTCTCTTTTTGGAGGTGGTCATTGCTTGACATTTGTGTAGCTTGGAAATCACTTGCCACTAGTCAGTCCAAACCCGAATAATGTCCAGATCTTGCTGCATTTGGAGCTTAGAGAGCTTCAGATCTGAGGATTTGCAAATGATGCTGAACAATTGCAATTATCAATCAATATTCCTACTTCTGACATTATAATGGAGAGAAAATCATTGATGAAGTAACTGAAGATGGTTGAGCATAGGACACTCCCCTGAGGAAATTCTGCAATGATGTCCTGGAACTGAGATGACTAACCTGCCACTACCACAACCACTTTCCTTGTGCCAGATATGACACCTAAGGTGAAATGTGAGAACTAAGCTGCTGTTTATCCTGGCTGCAACCCAATTTTGATTTCTTTCTCTCATATTCTGAAGTCACTAACTTGTGCTGGTGTATGGTCTCAAAGGTGTCTTTCTTCCTCTGTGCGTCCAGATAGTGAGTTGTCAATAGGGGGTCTAATCATGAAAGGCCAACTATTTTGCAGCAAAATGTCCACCTGTTAATATTGAAGAATAGTACTAGCACCAACCTAGGGGCATTTGAACACACGTTCAGGAGGATGCCATTTAGCCCCTCCATTCTGTTCTGTCACTTAATGAGATCTGGGCTGATCTATAATGTAGCTTCATATATTCAACTTTGTTTCATATTCCCAAACACTTTTGGATAACAAAAAAATGATCAATATCAGTTTTAAATTTGAGGGTTAAGATGGCATCAGTTGCGAGGAAGCAAGTTCCAAACTTCTACCACCCTTTGTGTGTATAATTGTTTCCTAGCCCTCAACCTGCAATCCCCAACAAGTGGAAGTGGTTCTTCTCTATCCACTCTGTCTGTTCCTCTTATTATCTTGAAACATTTTATCAAATTACCTCCTAATCTTGTCAGTCCCAGCGAATACAACCCTTGGGTAATTCCTCATAGAAACACTAAACTGAAGTCTTGGTATCATTCCTGTAACTCTATATTCCAAGGCCTATATATCTTTCCTGAGATTTGTTGCCTGGCACTGATCATAATAACTGCAGGAGTAGTTTAACCAGGGTTTTAAATAGCTATACCATGACTTATACTTTCCTGTATTCTAGTCCTCTAGGTATAAAGTTCAGTATTCCATTAGATGTAGCAATGGTGACAAGAAGTGTGACCAGCTGCAGCTACTCACAGACTGCATGGTTCAGTTGGAGAAGCAGCTAGACACACTGTGCCACATACAGTGGACGGAGAGAGTGATAGACACTAGCTTTAGGAAAGTGGTCACACCACAGGTCCAGACAGATAAGGTGACCGCCAGGAGAGGCAAGAGTGCAGGAGTCTCCTGTGGCTATTTCCTTCTGAAACAGGTTTACCGTTTTGGATACTGTTGGGGGGATAGCCTCTCGGGAGATGGTACCGGCAGTAGCCAGGCCTGTGGTACCACAACTGGCTCTGCTGTAGAGCAGGGTGAGGCAAAGTCCAGGCGAGTGATTGTAGTAGACTCGATAGTCAGGGCACAGACAGGCGTTTCTGTGGCCGTGAACAAGACTCCAAGACGGTGTGTTGCCTCCCTGGTGCCAGGGCCCTGGATGTCTCTGAGCAGGTACAGGACATCCTGAAACGGGAGGGAAAACTGACAGAAATCATTGTCCACATTGGCACAAATGACATAGGTAGGAAGAAAGAAGAGGTCCTGTGAGGACAATTCAGGGAGTTAGGTAGGGAACTAAAAAGCAGGACTACAACGGTAGTAATCTCAGGATTACTACCTGTGCCATGGGCTAGTGAGGCTAGGAACAGAGAGAGAGTACAGTTGAACATGTGGCTACAGAGCTGGTGTAGGAGGGAGGGCTTTAGATATATGGATCTTTGGGATGTCTTCTGGGAAAGGTGAGACCTGTACAAGAAGGACGGGTTGAACTGGAGGGGCACAATATCCTGGCCATGAGGTTCACTAAAGCTCCTTGGGAGGGTTTAACCTAGCGTGGCGGGGTTGTGGGAACTGGAACAACAGGCCAGTAAATGCAGGGACTGGGGACAAAAGGAAGACTGAGATATGCATAGCATAGAATAAGAGTAGGCAGAGGGAAGTCGTGGAGCTCAGAGGGTCTGGAGGTTTGGAGTGCATTTACTTCAATGCAAGAAATATAACAGGTAAGAGAGATGAACTAAGAGCATGGATTACTGCATGGAATTATGATGTTATTGCCATTACGGAGACATGGTTAAAGATAGACAGGACTGACAGCTTAACATTCCAGGCTATCGCTGTTTTAGATGGGACAGAAAGGGAAATAAAAGGGGTGGGGGAGTTGCATTGCAGATTAGGGATCACATCATAGCTGCGTTGAGGGTGGACATATTGGAAGGATCTTGCATTGAGGCATTATGGGTGGAGCTCAGGAATAGGAATGGTGCAATCACAATGTTGGGAATTTTGGATAGACCTCCCAACAGCCCATGGGAGACAGAGGAGCAGATAGATAGTCAGATACTAGAAAGGTGTGAAAAAGCAGGGTAGTTGCAGTGGGTGACTTCAACTTTTCTCTTATTGACTGGGACTCCCATCGAAGCAGGAGTTCGGATGGAGAGTATTTTATTAGATGTGTCCGGGAGGGCTTTTTGAGACAGTATGTTGACAATCCAACCAGAGAGGAGGTCAAACTAGACTTGGTATTAGGGAATGAGCAAGGACAGGTGATCACTGTTTCAGTAGGAGAGCATTTTGGGCTTATTGACCATAGGAATCATAGAATCATTGAACCCTACAGTGTGGAAACAGGCCATTTGGCCCAACAAGTCCACATCGCCCCTCTGAAGAGCATCCCACCCAGACCCATTCTCCTACATTTCCCATGTCTAACCCACCTAACCTAAACATCCCTGGGCACTACAGGTGATTTAGCATAGCTAATCCACCTAGCCTGCACATCTTTGGACTGTGGGAGGAAACCAGAGCACCCGGAGGAAACCCACGCAAACACAGGGAGAATGTGCAAACTCCACACAGTTGCCCGAGGCTAGAATCAAACCCGGGTCTCTGGCGCTGTGAGGCAGCAGTGCTAACCACTGTGCCACCGTAACTCTAAGATTTCGAGTAGTCATGAACAAGGACAAGAGTGGCTGTTGGGTGAGGGTGCTTAATTGGGCAAGGGCTAATTACATCCAAATTAAACAGGAACTGGAGAATGTGGATTAGGAGCATTTATGAGAGGGCAAATATATATTTGACATGTGGGAGGCTTTTAAAGACCAGTTGATTAAAAGTACAGAAACATGCATGACCCTGCAAAACTGAAGGATATGAATGGCAGGATTCGGGAACCATGGATGACAAAGAAAATTGTAAGCTGAGTCGAAAGGGAAAAAGAAGCATATGATAGGTTTAGGCAGCTACAAACTGTGAAGCTCTTGAGGAGTATAGAGAAATTAGGAAGGAACTTAAACCCGGAATTAGGAAGGCTAAAAGGAGCCATCAAATGTCTTTAGCAAACAGGGTCAAGGAGAATCCCAAGGCTTATTATGCATTTATTAGAAGAAAGTGGGTAGCAAGGGAAAGAGTAGGCTCACTCAATGACAATGGAAGGAAGTAATGTGTGGAGCCACAGGAAGTGGGAGAGATCCTTAATGAGTACTTCATTTCATTATTCACCAAGGAGAAGGACATGACTGATGTTGAGGTCAGGGATGAGTATGTGAATGCTCTAGAGAATGTCAGTATATTGAAGGAGGAAGTTTTGGGTATCCTAAATTGCATTAAGATAGACAAGTCCCCCAGGGCCATATGGGATCTATCCCAGGCTGCTGTGTGAGGCAAGGGAAGAAATAGCTGGGGCACTAGCAGATATCGTCACATTCTCTTTGACCACAGGCAAGGTTCCAGAGGACTGG